AAGAGCGTCACTGTCCTGCCACCCTTCAGCTTCTTCTGAAGAGGCATCTGACCCACCTGCCCTACCAGTATGGCCTAACAACGACAGACGGGGAACAATCAAAATTCACCACTACCCGTTTGTAAGAATGTCCTCTATGATTGGAAGCAGAAGTATATAAGAATAACAATCCTTAAAGTGACTAAAATATCGATCGAGTGACAATAAAGTGACAAACTGATCCTAGATTATCATCTTCTTCGACGATCAAGCGTAAAACAACAGAAACCCAGATACCATTTCCACTCAATATGTGCAAAGAAACACTAGAACACACAAACGTGATCCGGAACTAGGGATCCCACAAGCTAAACCTAAGCCGATTTTGGGGGATAGGAAAACGTACCTTGTAAACGCCCACATCGAGGCCATTCTCGAGAGTCTGCTCCACGAAAGCGCGTTCCTCGCCCGATCCTTGCGATGGTGAATTGGATGCCGACTGTCCAGGGGACGATTCAATGTCCGATTTAGCGGCGAGCTCGTCCGAGTCTTGTTCTTCGTTCGAGGAGAGGGTGTTGGTGCAAAAGGACCTCGAAACCTGAGAGAATCTAGGATTCGAGAGGAGAGAACGGTACAATCTCCTCGAAAGCGTAGCCATGGAATTCACCATTTCTCCTTTCCTCAGAGCAATTTCGAATGACAGAAGAAACTGTAGAAGACGAAATCGGTCTTTTGTGGGTTTAAAGTGGGGCTTAAACCCTAAACGGCTCTACCGTAGGAAGAGAAAAATATGTTCGGAAGAAGTATCTATTTTCTCAAAGTCTTACGTTTTTCGCCTCAAACTTTTTCCGGTACTAGTTACACCCTAATCAGAAGATGGCTTAAAAGCCTTTGCTAACAAATCTTACATATTTAAACTGTAAGTCCAATTACATAAACCCTACACATTATATTTTGAAAGATGAATGGTCAGCCTACAAAGGACAATTTGTCAAGGAGTTCCAAATCTTTTCAAATTTAGTTTCTTACCCCAGATTTTCTCTAATTGATATAAACCCATCCTATGTTTGAAAAATTCTAAAAAAAGATCCTATACTGCACAAATGGTACTCAACCTTTGAAATGAAAGGATAGTGGACATGATGTTTGTCTTGGTATATATATATATATATATATCAAACGATAAAGAGAGAAAAATCTAATATTCAAAATTTGTCGTGCGTCAAGAAAGAGTTTTCAAAAAAGATAAAAAACTTATAATTTGTCGTGCATCATTCACCTAACTGATGTTAGTATTTTTCCGAAATACTATAATATTTAAATTCAAAATAAAAATATTTTGGATCAATTATCATGCATACCATACAAAAAATTATTTAGAAATTTAGAATATATATAAACCCATAGTGATATGACAAATGGTAGAATGTGAGTAGAACCTTCTAGAATATAATGTATGAAATATTTTCTGACAACAAATAGGTGTTATCAGATTTCAATACGTTTAGTTTAAAAACCACTACCATCTATTTATATTAATCAGTTTGTGTTATTTTCAAATCTATCCATAAAGAATTAAAAAATTACACTTCATGATATATGTTTAATTATTTGACTCGTATATTTTTATGTATTTACATATTATATCACACGTAATTAATGATCATAATCTTTTGCAATTATTCACATTAAACAATAATTATACCATATATTGATTATGACACTGTAATTATTAGAGAATTTCTAACAATCTTCCCGTGAAAATGTATTTCCTTTAGTGAACTCATAAATTGCTTGTTGTTTGTGAACCATAAATTCCAATATCGTCCATTGATTATGTGACGCAAGGACACTATAAAAAAACCATAAATTCCAACAGGCAAATCCGTTGGAAACAGCCGAAAATCCGTTGGAAAAACGTCGTTGGAAATTCGATTCCGTTGGAAATCCATGGCAATTTTGTTTTTCTCTTTTTTTTATCTTTTCTTTTCATTTGAATATGATAACCGACCCACAACTTAGACCTGAACCATCAATCGATGCACTGTCGATATACTTTATTTTCTAGAGGTATATATGAAGGCATACGTGTTGCCAAGGCAAGAAAGACAGAAGAGTACTACTCGACTCATAAAACAAAATGAGTACGGTAGTACATATACTAAGGACTTAATAATCATACTTGTACAAACAAAGGTTCGACAAGACATGATTCCGCTGGAGAGTTACATGTTTTCCAGCGATGTTAACCGGGATAACCTAGTTAGATGCGTGATACCATGTCACGAACAACGTAGCGAGTAAAAGAATTTCAAAGAAATGACACCCGATATGAAATGAAAAAGGTTGTCGAGTAATCCTTTGAAATGCTATGATTCGTCGCTCTACGAGAATTTGAAGGATGCAGATGATTAGACTCGACACAATTAGTCATGACAAGGGATAATGAGAAAGAGCTCTGGCAATCGATCGAAACTGATATAAAATTCACGAAACATCTCTAGTGTGTTTTTCATATCAAAGTTACGAGAACACGCAACAAAATCTTCTATCTATACAGATAGAAGAGATAAATCTGAATACCAGTATCTGGTTCAACAATGGATCACATGGATTATTGACTATCAGGCTGAGATGTTACAACATAGAAAGGATGCGTAGAGGAAGTGTAGTGGAGGAATCAAGATATTCCGACATTACGTGAGAGACAAACGAGTGAATTATTCATCCAACCTTACTTTGAATTCGAGGATGAATTCATTTTAAGGGGGTGGATTGTGATAATCCATAAATTAAAAATTAAAGAAATTAAAAATTTTAAAAAAAGTTGGTCCATGAGACCAGAAGTTGGTCCGGGACTGACCAAGGGCTGACCAAAATTTTGGTTCGATCATCTTTGGTTTGTTTGGTCTGCCGGACAAAGATTTGGTCCGGGGCTGACCAAACCGAGTTGACCAAGAAAGTCCGCCGGACCAATAGAAAAAGAGAACGGACCAAATGAAGATTCTGATCTGGAGCTGACCAAGATTTGGTCCGTCGGACCAGACCTGGATGAGTCATCTCATGGTGAAATTCTTTCATCGATTGCTCGCCACCTCCTGCTTCGTTTTTGTCGAATTTTTACCCTCTGCTGCAACCTTCTGCGTGCTCAAACTTCTCTTTCACACTTCTTTTTCCTCTTCTTTTGGGTTTAAATAAGAGATCTCACTACTCTCTTTTTCATTCTCACGCAACTCTCTCTCTTTCAAGAACTCTTTGAAATTTCACAGAGTGATTCACTCCGTCTCAAGCTCGATTCGTGATGAATTTGAGCAAATCTAAGTGGGAGAAGCGCAACAAAGCATCCCCAAAGCTCAAAGAACTCCATAGAAGCCATTGGTGAGTGAATTGAGTTTAAGCCGAAAATTTCAATTTCATTGATTTCGGAGTTTTATGAGTTTCTCGTGCATGATTGATGTTTGATTCTTGTTTATTGATTGATTTTGATTATTTTGAGCCATTACCCATTGATTTTGGTGATGTTTTGAGTGATTTAAGAATTTTCCGAAATTTGGTCCGGAGCTGACCAGAAGTTGGTCCGTCAGACCGGGAGTTTCGAACTAAAAAAATGGTCCGAGGTTGAAGACGAAGTTGGTCTGCCGGACCAAGATTTTGGCCGGGCGAACAGGAAAAAAATATTTTCAAAAAAAATTAAAAAAAAAATAAATTTGTTAGTCCGTCGGACCAAGTTTTGGTCCAAACCGGACCAACTAGACTAACTAAAAAATTGCTCAGGCGAAAGGAAAGGAAGGACGAGAAGATTGGTCCGCCGGACCAAATTCTAGTCCGGTGCTGACCAATCAACCCAAATGTCCATAACTGTTCGGAGTTCAATCCGGATCCGACCAGACCAATCCACAACCGAGCCCAAAAAACCTAAACTAAATAAAGGAATGTCCAGTTTGACGTATCCTCAAACTTCACGGTAAGTCCTAAACTACGAAACGAAATGAATCGGTAATTCGGATGGACCGGAACCCGTTTTAATTGTTTTGGAGGTTAAAAGTATTAAAAAGGAAAAAGACTTAAAAGATATTATGTGTGTATAATTATGTGAATAAATGTATAAATAGTATATCTGACCAATTACCTGAACCCAAGACTTATAATTACTAATAAATCAGGGTGTTACGGAATATTGTGGAAGGCTGAGCTCAAGCCTGATGAGAAATTTCGCGGCAGATGGTCGGCGAGGGAGAGTTAACTGTTGTAGTTATGCTCATACGTAGACGAACATATGTACATTTGTAATAAATGTTTATGAAATAATATGATTATTCGTTTATTATTATATTTGCATGTTCATTAATAATAAACAATATCCCTGTATTATTTGGAATAATACTAGATGCCCTAGTCAGTTATTGTCGTGGGAACAATAATAAATAAAGACTAGTGTGACGTGTATGTATGACGTATTGGATACGTGCTACAGTCTGTTGGTTTAGTGCTCTATGATGTACTGTTTGCGAGCTTTACTTGGATGCATTTGATGTATTGACGCTTTCTATAATTTATGGATTAGTGTTTTATTCATTACATGTTTTGCATACTTAAATATGCTATGAAATCCATGTATTGTTATGAACAATACTAAACTCCCTTGTCGTATATCATTGTGGGAATAATGATATAATAAGACTAGTATGCTGTGTGATTGATGATCATAGAGATGATCATAAGTATTGGATACGATCACAATCATAGGTATTCGTTGGAGAACGAAATACCGGATTAACCCGCATGAGATTGTCACATAGACTAGCGTCATGACTTGAATCTCATATGACGGTTCCATGATTGGATCCTAAGACCTGGGATATCTACGGAATCCAACATGAGGAGTTGCGTACTTTGATTACGTCAAACGTTCTGCGTAACAGGAGAAGTATAAAGGCGTGTATCAGGTACGACACGAATCATGTACTGGATTGTAGATAGTCAAGATGGGATTTGCACCTCTTGTAAAAGAGAGAGATGTCGTTGGGCCCCTCGTGTGAGCGAAACTGTAGAAATATGTGGCTGCACTATAGACGAGTGTCGTCTATTTCAGACAGTTGAACTCAGTGAACGAGAAAGCAGTCGAATCAGATAAGGTGGCTCATCCATGCCTTATGTTCGACATATGATATCGCAATGCAAAAGGATCATTAACTGGAATCATCACTGACGTTCGTAGGATCACGAACAAACTCTATTCGAGATAGGTAGTTATAGTGTCTTGCTAGAGACCGCCTATGACTTGTGTAACCGGAATAAGAGATTTCAGGTTATACTGCTGTATCGGATGAGCCTATAGGGTCACACACACAGGAAAAGACGAATGCACGAGAAGAGACGAGAAAATCCCGGTTGAGCGGAGGCCAGATCGACCGGTCCAAAAGGTCTGGACCGACCGGTCCAGCCTTTCCAGACCGATCGGTCCAGGCACGAGGATCGGTCGGTCCAGAGGTAACGTACAAATGTTGCTAGGTCCGGAAAATTTTCCAGACCGATTGGTCCGGAATCATGGACCGATCGGTCCACACGTTAAAAGCTCCAGACCGATCGGTCCAAACGTCAGAATTTCCTAAACTCGCTCTAATTAGGGTTTTAAGTGGGATTAACTTTGGTGAAGGCCTCGAAGCCTCTTGGCACGACTTTCAGACCCTTTGGCGAGTTTTTGAGAGTGGAAAAACCTAGAAAAAAATTCCTGAAACCCTT